AGAATACCATTACAAATAGCTATTTATCCATTGAAAACCTGTCGATATATTATATATTATTAACGTCAATTACTGATTTTTTTTCATCGATAAACCGTTATCATTTACGACATTGCAAATTGCAATAGCATTACATATATCAACAAGGGAAATTATGCAGTTGAATCATAGAAATAATCTATATAACTATCATATTATAACCTCCGAACTCCGGTATTGGATATAAAATTGGGTTACACTAAAATGAGTTTATTATTAATTTAAAAACCTTAAATCAACAAAATTCAGTTAAGAAACACAAACTTGTTATAATTTCATTGATAAATCATAAAATATGTACCATATAATTGCTGAATAATAAAACTAACCTACTCATTTACATACCATAGCATGTCCTTAAGATTCAGCTACAATAACTACCGATTTCTAAAGAGAAAACATAGTAGGTATTATGTGCAGTTCAATCGACACTAAATAATAATATTAGTATGTTATAATGTCATATTTAATTCAAGCTTCTGGTTTTTGACTTTTAAGTTGGACAACGTATAAATAGCTTAACTTCAAAAAAAAAAACAATTGGGTAAACTTCTCAAGGATTTCATACGAGTGGCCAAATAATTCCCGAGAGAATTAGGTATACTTGCAACATCACCGTCCGTCCCAGTAAACTCTCGACATTCTAAAACACTTTACATTAAAAGTGGGTAAAAAAAAATAAATGCATCCGTAGATTATCTACGGGATACAGATATGCTAATCCACAAATTAAGCCATTGCAGATTCAGATTTTACAGTAGGTACACATTTTGTTCATGTAATCTGCAAAATATACAATATTATTAACGCTGTAAATATTATTATACACTGCTGGAGTATTGTAACACTAATACATATAATCGTAAACATTAGAATATAATAAATAAAAAACATGTTTATAAAATCATAACTAGTTTAAACAAATTAAAAATGAACTTCAAGGCAATCCACAATCACTGTACAGTATATTATATACTAAACGGACGAGGCGATCAAAAGATATAGGAACATTTTATACGCGTCTACTCTCGCCCGTTGCTATTTTTACCGTATTTTAGCTAATTGAAAAGAAAAAAAAAACTGCATCTTCGAAAAGAAATTACTTTTTTGTACTCCACATATAGTGTTATCCCCGATAATGTAAATTGGATTCCATTGCACGGCAGTCTATCATTATTTCTAAAATAAACTGTACGGCGGCGTAGTAGTTTTAGGTTATATATTATATATTTTAATATTATAGTGTTAGGCACTGTGTGTGTTAGGTTCCTACGTCATGTACGCGTCTTGCAGTACTCCTCGATGTGGCTAATGTATATTTAGCATGAAAATATGCGTAACAGATTCTAACGGTGCAGTTCACCTGATTAAACCGACTGACTATAAGATTATATACTTATCGAACACGAAAATCACGAAATTTTTTTGTCCCGCATAATGCGGGAGCAAACCAAAAACTCGTCTCTGTAAAATGCTGTTCGTCGAAATCGAATGGGAAAAAAATGTACATCGTATATATTGCTCAACACGAACGCGGTGTAGGTACATAGTACATATAAGTACATATTTATTATTTATACTCGGATATCGCGTTGGCTGCCACGCCGCAGGTATATGTATACATACACCACTGTTGTAGCGACACAAAACTATCCGTATTACGCACACATTTTACATAATATATATAATGCATACATATATGGCTAGGAGGTACGAGTTATGTGTGTTTATGTTTAATCAAAGTAAAACCATCGTCGTTATTGTATTGTGTTTTCCTACTGGGCCCCGGCCGCAGGGTTAGATATATTATTTCCCCCTCGAATTAAAAAAAAAAAAACTAAGTCTTGTCTACATGATATTATCGTAAACGGTAGGTGGGTAGGTAGATATGTCTATGCGTTACGTGCCGTTTTGACTGACTGTTCTATGAGCTCGTATTGTGTGCTGCCCGTGATAATAATATATTTAATATTATACCATTATATTTTGTATACTGTAAATACACATCGTATAATACCTACTGTCCCCCCCCCCCATATGTGCGTGGACGACGTTCGTGCGGTGCTAAGTAATCGAGATCATCATTTAAAGGCGCACTGACAAACAAAAAAAAGCCCCTGAATGCGACTTGTCACGCGGCAGTCGTCGCGATTTCCCCACCCCCATCGCTACAAACCCACAAAACAAAATGAAATTTCGTACGTTATCTCGGCCGTGTAATCGTCGTATTGCTGTATAATATTATGGTACTATATATTATGTATAGGTACAGTGTTTAATTACGTATATAATACCTATACATGCGCAATGCATAATATACAACATAATTAGTTTTAGCTACGAAAATTCGTGTCGTTATTATAATTTTATACAATTACCTTTGGTCACATGCGTGATGGCGTATTTCGAGGAGCTATTATACTATATTATAATACTATTATTACGTCGTCGGTTCATGATCACACGCGTTCGTCGGACTGAGCTGCAGCAGACTTAAAAAACAAATCGAAAAAATTATAATTGTCGCCGACGACGACGACATGCAGTTTGTCTAACCCCCCCCCCCCCATCCACTCCCGTCTTGTGGTTTTCGCGTGAAAGATCCACACATTCGACCGACCGATTACGCTACAACCATGTTACGTTTGATCATCACAATACGTTCCTATATAGAAGCTCGTCGGCTGCCACGACGATGAAATCGCATAATATGCAATAATAATAGTATAACGAGCGCATAATTAAAACGAAAACCGTGCGCGAAGGAATTCAATTGTGACGCGTGCCCTGATTTACCGATTTCCCTCGAGTCCAAAAACCACACAACCTTCTGCCCCGACGATTATTATTATTATTCATTATAGGTAGGCGCTATATAACGTAATGTACGTTGCTATAACTGTTGCTACAACTATTACTACACATTACGACCTTGTAAAATATGTTTTGATAGTAATATTTACATTCGATCGCAAACCGCATCGTCCACTCATCGGCGACATCGGCGACATCCGCTGTTTCTTGGTTTTGAAGGGGGTTGGGGGAGGGGTTGGATAAAAGTTGCTAACATAAATATATGTTTTTGGGCTGGATACACATTGTTCGTTTCTGACCGGTTTTCCGTTGTCATGGTTACTTATTCACAAAACAATATTTCTGTGGAAAGTTGGCAGGAGCTGATATTATGTACATTTTATTAATTTTTGAATTATCATTTAAATAGTTTAGAAATAGTATATTTCAAGTGGTGGCAAAATATGATATTTCTCTATTATGTGTGTTTCACCATCTATATGTGCAAAGACCAAAAATGACATGTCATTATTTGAAAATATATGTAGGGGAAAAACTATAAGTTCAGAAAGTGTACATATCAGCTTTTGCCATCATTCCATAGATTTATGGTTTTCATAGATTTTCCTTGTAGAGGAAAAATATCGAGTAGCATTCTTTATTTTTTTTTATTTAATTGTTGGTATTTTGTTTTCGTAGTGACAATACGTTTAACGGTTAACCGTTTAACGGTCTTTTTTGTATATTATTAGGTTCCGGGCTATTCATGTATTACGATTTTCCGATATTTTAACCCGTTGACCCTCCGCTACGGTCGTCGAGATTTTTCTTATCGTTTCGTTAACGCGTTTATCGACAAGTGGTTATTTAAACGATTTTTGGAGATAATAATGTAGACCGCTCATTCACCGTGAAAGTACGTGCAATTGATATGAGCTCATCAATAATTTACCTAAATAATACCAAAGACGCGACATCAAAAATTGCAGACCACTCTGTGACCCGAATCTATAAAAGTATATTTCGGTTTTATAAAATAAATTATTATGAACCATACTCATCGTTATTAAAGAATGAACTGTATAGGTTAGGTTAGGTTACTTACGAAAAACTCTCTTCGTTACAGATAAATAAACATATTATAAAATCGAAAATTGATATAATAATAAACAAACACTTTTATATTAATAATTAGTGATTTTTAACTAATAACATTATTATTAGTGTTCAGCACGTTTCGAATTTTTAATCAAACATAGGGACTTACAAATATATGAAACGAAAAAGGCTCTCCAACCATTTCTATGAAACTCTACAAACAAAAAAAGTATGAGCTAATCTTCCTTTCAACAGTCAAACTTATAACTAACTATTCAAACATATATCACTATTATAAGTTATAATAAAGAAAACTAACAACATTGTTTTTAAATACTTAAATTTAAAAAATGTACATACATAAGGTACTTTTTACGTACCTATGACATTGAAGCGTAGAGCGCCAGAACGGCTTAACCAACAAAAATATATTATTTTAGGAAACATTTTTCGAGCTCTCCCGCGGTACTGTAATTATTCATATTTTGTTGCCAAAACAAATGTTGTGTTCCCATCTAGTAGACTGCATTTTTTTAGTGGGTTGGACCAATTCGGTTTTAAAATATTTAAATTATAATATTAGGAGGTTGAATTATTTCTGGGTCGAGCGTCGAGCAGTACTATAGTGTTAAAATGGCAAGGTCATCTTTTAAAACCATCATGATAACTGTGTCCGCCACTATATCAGCTATGTTCATACCCAACCACCCGGGCCATCCCCCCCTCACTTCAAATGTACTAAATGATTTTTTCGGGCCCTATACAAAACTTCCAATAAAATACAACCCATTACAAGTGGTACGGGTGTCTCATACACGATTTATAAGCAATCTATGATTAAAATAACAAAACGACTTAATATATTATTTAATATAAAATAAGTATTCCTATCAAAATTTCAAAAATTATAAATTAATTTCAACGGGCCCCTAAAGTAGCCGGGGCCCTGTACTCTAGGTCCAACTATCCCCCTCCTCGCGGGGGCCTTGTTCATACCTATATACCCTTACATATTGTTATAATTTAAGTCGTTGTTTACAGGGACGACGTTGCGGGACGACGGTCATGTGATGCGCATCAAACCCAAGTCAGTAGCCGCTGCGGCCGAATCGTTGGACGCGGCCGACACTTCGTCTGCTTCAGGCGGCGGTGGATCGGCCGCGGCCGCACCGGCGGAATCGTGGACGCCCGAGAAAAAAGACGCGCCCACCCAACAACAGCAGCAGACGTCTACCACGACGACCACCACGTCGGCCACGACCACCGCCGGCACGTCCATTGTGGCCGCCGTGGCCATAGCGATGGCGAACTCAGCCGCTGCTGTTCAACAGGTCCGGCCGCTTCGAGAGCTGCTCGGCTGTAAGGACAAGTCCAACCGCCGGCGGATCGCGCAGCGCGGCGATTATTGGGTGCTGTACAACTACGTGCCGGCCCGCCGTTGGTTCCGGTGCGACGAGTCCATCACGTACACTACGCACGCCGACTTCACGTTCCTCGACAACCTGGAACCACTGTTGGAGAGGTAAATTTCAAAGTGTTTCTATCCTGTGGGTCGACGGTTTTGGTTTGTAGTGGAGAGTTTTTGATGAAAGCCGAAAGAAGTACAGGTGGTGGGATGACGATTTCAATGACGGACGCGATGTGGAAACATTTTGAACTTTACTTACTTTACCGTACTTACTTTGTTATTCCATTTCAATACCAAAAGATAATAAAAACGATTTTTCGATCAGACCAACAAAATCAATTTTCTTATCTCTATAAATTTTTGACGAAATTGATAATTGTATTAGTACCTATAGTTCCTGTACACCGTTTGCATGCAGCTTAATTATTGCAAAAATATTTATAGCCCAATAGATTTTCGGAAGCCATCTTTCATACAACAAACGCGTGCTAAAGTTTTCACTCGGATTTCATTTCGAACTTTTATCTCACCAACTGCAACCCCCACATAAAATATTTAAAACGATAAACTTTTTCAAACAAACACGTTGGTATAACTTACAAAAAATTATGGGCCACAATAAATCAGAGCCAAAACGAAGTTATGTAAAGTAAAAAAAATATCTCTTCTCAAAAATCCCCTCGTATAGGAAGTAACGCACGACATGACATGACGCTACTCACACATTCACCCTTATATATGGCCGTATGCATATAATAATATTACAGATAATCACTATCTTATACCTGATGATCCACAGGTGGCGAGGCCCCATATCGGTGGCTCTGTACACGCCGGGCAACGACTTCGTGCCCACGCTGGCCTCGATCCGGTACTTGCGGCAGTGCGGTTCGCCGCTGGTGGCCGAGTACGTCACGTTCCACATGTACTTCGGGTCGGGGCACGTGCCCAAGTCGGTGCCGCACACGGACCATGACATCGACGCGCCGGTGGCCAACTGCTCGGCGCCGCCGCCGTGGACGAACGCGTCGGCCGCTTACAAGGTGCAGAAGAAGCTGCTGTACCCGGTGAACGTGGGCCGGAACGTGGCCCGCGAGTCGGCCACCACGCACTACGTGCTGCCGTCCGACATCGAGCTGTACCCCAGCCCAGGTGTCATCGAGGGGTTCATGGACCTGGTCCGGAGACAAGACCCTCCCCTCCGGCGCCCGAAGCCAATGGTGTTCCCGTTACCGATATTCGAGCTGGCGTCCCACATGAAATTGCCAGCCGACAAGAAGGAACTGGTGAGTGAATATTATCTATTTATTTAGATGACCATCTAGCAAACCGCCCGCGGCATTGGCCGTAGACATTTTACATTGCAAATAAATGTATAAATTACATAATTATTACTTAACTAAAGATAATATATATTATAACTGAAAAAATTAAAAACGATTTAATATTAAGTATTAGATACAGTTTATTTGTAAGGTGAATCTCTGATAGGAGGAACTGGATGAGTTGCTTGGATACGTTGTTGCCGGTTCAGGGTTGAGTTTTTCAGCTAGGTGATCGGATATTTAGAATTGTCTGCTTGTCGTATATTCTACATTCAGTTAGAATATATTTTACTGTAAGGGTCTACATGAACATATAGGGAGGGGGTTTAATTTTTTCATTAAATGTGTGTGTGTGTTAAGGGCTAAGACGATCGATGGAGGTCTAGTATTTTCTTGTGGTGTTGACAGGGAAGCGAATAGGTTGAACGGATTTTGTAATTTCGTTTAGCTTAGTGGACAGTTCATTCCATTCTATTTCATACGCTGCAGTAACGTAGGATTTTCAATTATTCTCTTTAAGTCGTTATAGGAGAAGATGAGAGCATCTGGAGATGAGTGGGCGAGTTTGGCAGTCGTATCTGTTCGTTGCCATCTATATTGCTGTAGTGACCAGGGATCCATATTATATTATTATTATTATGACTACCATTGTAGTTGTGGTTGTTGTACCTATCATTGTACTCGGCGGCGACGAGTCACCGCAATTGATATTTCTTATAACAATATCTTCAACGCCAATATCACGTCGGTACCGACGATTTACTACAGCTATCGGCCGCCGCCGCCTTTTCATAACTGTACGCGTAACATATTATAATATATTATTATATTCATCCGAAAATCGTTTAAGACCCTACAATATATAATATGAGAAATTATTATATTTCTTTTACGCAACAGTTTACGGTTTTAAACGAGTTTTTAAATCATTGAAAGAGCTAAAAAGTATAAGTTTTCCATTGAATGAAAACCTCGTTAAAATAACTTAACTTTTTCTTTGCATGTGCCGAACAATAAAAATACGCTCTGTTATAATATTATAGTGCACTGGCACCGAGAGAAAAAATAATTTTACAGTGTAAACATAGTACTTTGGTGGTGTATAGCGGTATACTGCAAAAAAAATGTATAGTCCAAACAAACATTTCAAGTGGCCGAGTTTTATGATAAATAACATGTATTTAGGAGTTTAATTAAAATTTCAAGGCGACGACTATTATTCTATTTACAATGCGCTTTGGTGATATTGAAAATGGACACATAATCGTGTGCATTGTGCATTTACACACGAAGTAACCTTAATAATTTTTACTTACCGATTATCGCATAATATGCAAAATTACTGTGCATTATTACAGTTACATCACGAGTAGCAATTATCGGGTGAAAGCAAATGCGTACTACGGTTCAATTTTAAATGCAATTCACCGTGTCTTGACGAAGTTCTTTAACGACATATTGTATGTTATTACTTTAAATTTCAATATTCGGTATATCAATCTCTATTATAGTCTGTGGCTGCATTAAGCGTTAAATTTAAGGTAGGTATACACGCGGTATGGCGTTGTAATCACTGACTACAATTGATCTCCGACCACTAATTAGGGAGACACATAATATGAGGTCAGAAAAAATAGTACCGTAGAATGGGGTAACTTTGATACCCATGAATTTTTATTCACCAGAGTACCATGATGATTTAATTTTTTTTCATAAAATGGGGTTACTTTGATATCACATTAAGAAATTTAGGTATCAAAGTTGCCCACTACGTTGTGTAATTTTGATAGCATTTCAAAAAGATTGATATCTCAAAAGATAACATCAGAAATTTAAAAATTAAAACGCTAAAATATTGATCATAACTAGTTGTTACTAATATTTAATTTTGAGAGTTTTATCGTTAATATACTACAGAAGTTATCAATTAAATAAAAAGTAAAATTGTCATAAAACGGTAAAAAATTATCAAAGTTACCCCATTTTACGGTATACAGAAAGTCCACGGCGATATGATTAATCAATATATATTATATATCGTACGGTTTGTCTGAAAATGAAAACGTTTTGTTTTGAAATCCGTGCGTTTGAGTTAAGATTCCGAATAGCTGCCAAGGTATAATAATAAACATTGCACACCTATAGTTGCTTTCCCGAGAGTTAGATTCGTGTAAATTAAAAATAACGCACAGAAGATTTTTATTATTCAAACTGCGTTCATTCCGTCTGCGTACAACTATAATACATCTGCGAGCACACATTAAATATCGCGAGGTACAAACAGTCTGCGGTAGCACTTAAATTTTAAACGTTTCTTATTTTATTTTTATTTTTTCATAGTACATAGGTACGTAATAATATAATTGAAGTGTCGAAACAATTATGTGTATATATATATAAAGGGTATTACGTAGTACGACATTTCGATTTTGCTTGTCCGAAAAGCCATAATCAATGCCCAATCATATTATATCTTCCGTGATTCGGGCGACGGTATACGTATAATAATAATTTTTGTCACCTCGAACGGGAAAAAATTTTAATTAGGATTTTCTTCAAATGAAGTATAGGTAATAGGGCTCGAACTATCTTGAATTCCGTGTCGTTTTTTTTACTATTTATATATTATATTATTACTGTAGGTGAGCTATTTTTAAATTAATTTCAAGACTGCCTACGAATAAAAAAATAGCAGATTTTTGTCCGTTCAGATTTTCAATTTAAAGTGCCTATATTTCCTGATTTTACGGTTTGTATTGTACATCTTAAGATTTAAGCACTTGATTGTTGTCGATATAGAAGTACTATTATAGTATAATATACAGAATTAAAACTTCGCAAATAAAAATAAATATATTGATTTGAGATTTTAATCTTGTACCCATTTCGTGAATTCATGACTAACAATATATTTTATAACATTATATAGCTGTTTTATAATGCAACGTATCTATATCGTAAGTTGATAGTATAGATATATCAAACGTAGAGAATTAAATTATTTATGTTAATATTTTAAATAATTTAAAATTCACACAAACTTAAAATACACTCACCTTAATTTTAAATGTAAAAATATAGTAGTCCGCGAATAAAAAAACAAAATTTAAATTAATATTTTGTTGCTATTTAAGCTCATATATAACTGCATGTACTTATATAATATATTTAATAGACTTTTATGGCATTCAAGTCCGATCTCTATAGACATTGCAAGACTTTCCACCGATCAGACCGAGATATTTTATCCATTTTAGGAATAATAATATATAATAGTTATTTCTGGTCATGTTCCATCGAAGGATGACATAATAATAATACCACCCCTAATGGGTTATATATCTATTAAGCTATCACACAAAAATTAACGATTTTTCCCTTAACGATAAAACAAAATACAAAAGAACACGACTGTGATATGCACGTTATTAATGCGTTTTATGGTGTTGTACCCACGGTAACAAACCACGTATACCATTCGATACCTGCACGTGCAGTGCAGGATAAACGTATATAACTTAAAATAAAAATCTTAAAGTACATTATAATTTTGGTCAGCACACTATCGAAAATTTGTAACATTATCAGGCAAATAAGGTGTTCGTCAATCGTGCTGAATATTTTAGACTAAGACTAAATAATATAGTTTATTTCATGCATAAAAATAAAATAGCACATTACACAGTATCGAATTTACATTTTAGTTAATCTCAACATTAATGTAATAATATAATACATATTATTTTACGGTAAAAGCAAAGAATCAAGTAAACAATAAGAATGAAAAAAACAACGTTTAAGACGTTGATTAAAAAACGAATAGCTTAAAAAAATACATATTAATAAATAAATATAAACGATGCGATTATGATTCATATTTTGATTAAATTAGAAAATTATATGAAATAAATCGCGTATTTTAAGTTTCACCTATAGTTATACCAATTATAAACATCCTATTCTTCTATCACATTACTCTTATACTTTCTCGGTAATTATATTAACATATTATATTAATTTGTATATTTTTAAAACGATTGGTGCAATATATTGACGATCACGAGTATTTATTACCACCAAACATCGTTCGGTTCGTTTGACGAATAGGTATGACTATTTTTTCTCTCATATTATTTCCATTTACGTGTAATATCGCACACCTCCGAAAAATTAATTTACAAATCGAATCGGGTCGGTGTCGGACCGCAATTTTAAAAATATTATATCATATTATATTCTGTTCAAAACGTTTACCTACCGCGTTCACGGTATCGTCATTATTATACCTATTATTGTTTATCATTATTAAGTCACGTAAGCGCTGCAATGTATTATACAAAGCACAAAACGACAGGGATTTTGGCTCGCACAGTATATTATTATTATTGTAATTTATATGTCGTATATTATTATTATATTGCCATTGTCCGACCGTTTTACAGCTCGCAATGCACCGGATTGGCATTAAAACTTGGTGCAGCGTGTCTACAGGGTGACTCACCGAAAACGCAGTTATTAAAATCTGATTTTTGGAATTTTTAAATATGCTACAAGACCATATTTTCAAATCCTTGAGATTTTTTTGTACTGCTAAAGGAGTGTCCCGTGGAGAAACGGACTTCTGTTTTTCAAATGAGTACCCTCCTTTTCAACTGGCAAATTTTTCAGTGGATAATTTTTCTGAAAAACTCGACTTACCAGAATTAAAATTCGTAGTTTTTGAGTTATTTAACTGAGGATAAAAGGACCTTGGTAATGGGTTTATAAGATATAGGGGCTATGGTGATTGGAAAATCTTAGTGCCACATCATTAATTAATCTTAGTCTAACAACGTTAATAATTTGTAAAAATCGCCCAAATATAATAAATACTAGTTCCAATATTACCTCTATTTTATATTTTTGTAAAACCATTTTTAGGACTATTATAAATATTTTAATAACTAAGAAACTACTCATTT